TGATGTGATCGTGCCGCGGGTGCAATCGTATGGGGTGCGGTGCGGGATGTCTCTCCTTCACACTTGCCAACTGGCGGTCTGAGATCAAAGCAGCTGGAGCAGCTGCACAGCATAGGCACGTGCACCTGGTCCGCGTCATGCTGTTGATTTCCACTACAACACACACAATCCCCATGATCGCTCGCATGTTGCTCAGGCAATGTCATCGGCCTCGACTGGTCAACTGAAGTCAAGCCCCTTGGATCAGCCCCACCGCCGCCAGCCGCCTCCCCGACGCCCATCACACCGCCGTCGCCGTCGCCCGTACCGACCCCAACTCCCGTGCCGTCCCCAAGCCCGGTGCCCTCCCCAAGCCCCACGCCAGCAGCCGGCACCGCGCCCGACGCAGAGGCCGCCGCCGCCCTGCAGCGCCACAATCAGCTCAGAGCGCGCCACAACTCCCCACCCCTGCACTGGGACGCCTCTCTGGGCCGCGCCGCTGTGGCCGCCGCTGCGTCCTGCAGCACCACCAACTCACATCCAGCAGGATCGTCCGAGAACATGGCCCGAGGCTTCACGACCTTCACGGCAGCAGTGGATGCGTGGTATGCTACGATCTCCTCCTACGACTTCAGCCACCCCGGGCCCCAGGCAGCAGCACCAAATGCGGCGCTGTTTGCAAATGTCGTGTGGCGGGCGACAACGGGCGTCGGCTGCGCCGTCAACCGCGGCTGCACGAGGCCGTTCTACGTCTGCATCTACCTGCCGGCTGCGAGTGAGTGGCTATGTTGTGTGCGCACAACCGGCTGCTGTATGTGTGGCAATAGTTCTAGCATTTGTCGTGCTGCACGGATGAGCTTTGCGCAATCCCCCCAGTCGCCGGCTGTGACATGTCACACAGCAGATTGTGGAGCTTACACCAGGGCAGTGTCAACAACCACACCCATCTACAGTGTTTCTGCTGATCATATGCTTGCCTACGCTTCAACAAACAATCCCCCGCGCCCAATGCCACCCTTGCCTCCTGCCAGCCTCTGACCCTGCAGCCTGGGCGGCCAACGTCATCCCCGCCATTGGTGCGGTCCCCATGCCTGACCAGCCGCCCTCCAGCGAGCTCGACGCTCCCAACGCGCCGCACGTCACGCACAGCGCATTGTGGATGCGTGTGGGGGAGGCACTTGCGATCAAGCACGCTTACCAGGCAGCGGAGGCGCCGCCTGTCGTGCAGTGGCCCGCAGCAGCGGCGGTGTTGTCACCAGACCTCCAGGCAGCCCTGGACGAGACCAACCGGCTCAGGTGTGCAACACCAGAGTATTAATCGGGGACACGACATTGGGTGGACGTGTTGTGGTGGCAGGACACCTCTGGCCCTTGCTTCAAATGGCTTAACCCTGCACGCGCTGTTCTATAACTTGCGTACATTCACACGCCCAAGGGGCCCCTGCCCCTACCTCAACGCCGCCCTCAACAATCACCACACCTCTGCAACCACCTCCGCCCCCAGGGCCCGCCACCAAGCGGGGCCCCTGGTGTGGGACACCGCCATCGCCTCCACCGCCCAGGCCTGGGCGGCCGGCTGCCCCAACGGCCACTCAGGCACCAGTGGCGTGGGGGAGAACATGGCGTGGGGGTACCCCAGCCTGGTGGCCGCAGTGGACGCGTGGTACGCCGAGGTGAGGGGAGGGGTGAGAGAGGGGGTGTACTCAGCAGCTGGCCATTCCTGCGGGCCTGCGCGGGCATGCATGCAGCGGTCTTTGTGGAAAATGCATGTTTGCGACTGGCAGTGTTGCAAGGGCGAATGCGTCCGGCAACCAAGGGATTTAGCCTTTTCAGAGTGCCTTTCTAAACATACTGCACCCCCTCGCCCCCCCCCCCGCCATCAAATTGGGGCTGCAGGTGAAGGAATACGACTTCTCCAACCCGGGCTGGAACCCCTCCACCGGCCACTTCACGGCCCTGGTCTGGAGGGACACCACAAGGCTCGGCTGCGCCGTCAACACCCAGTGCAGCTGGGCCACGTACGTCTGCCAGTACGGGCCGCCAGGTGCGCGCTGCCGG